GCACCGCTATTTAAAGCCCAGCTCAGCAGTGCCCTGGGGGCTCTCTCCTCCGTGGCTGCCGCCAGCCGTGCTGCAAGGAAGCCAGCCCGTTGCATCAGTTATTGTTGCCGAAACGCTGGCCCCGGGGGCCTGGGCTGTTTTTCTGCCCGGCTCTGGCTATTTTTACACAGTCCCTGGGCCCCAGCACCCCGCTCTTGGCTGCCTTCACCTCAGGAGCCTTTTCAGCTGTGGGCCAGATGGGGCCCCTTTGGTGGCCTACAGGGCGAGCAGGGTGCTGGGGCCCAGAGGGAGGAGGGTCAGCCTCTGGGGACAGCGGGCGGCCACGGCCACCTCCTTGGGCGCAGCAGCCCCCCTGGCCGTTCCGGAGGCCTCAGCCCGCTGTGTGTGCCCTGGGCTCATGCCGCGGCCGCACCCAGGCTCAGCGGATCCCTGTCGCCCTCAGGACTGCCCGCAGATCCTGCCCTCCACCCAGATCTATGTGCCGGTGGGTGTGGTGAAGCCCATCACCCTGGCTGCCCGGAACCTGCCACAGCCCCAGTCTGGCCAGCGTGGGTATGAGTGTCTCTTCCATGTCCCGGGGAGCCCGGCCCGCGTCACCGCCCTGCGCTTCAACAGCTCCAGCCTGCAGTGCCAGAACTCCTCGGTGAGCTGCTGGGGCCGTGTGGACGGGCTGCCGACCTGCAGCCTCAGGACTGAGTGTCGTAGCACAAGGACAGTGCACAGTCTGGCCTGTCCCGGCTCCCCTGGCCACGCCACGCCCCTCAGGTGTGACGGACTGGGACTTAGGGGGGCCTTGAGAGATACCCACATTTGGAGGGGACACACTTCAGACCTGGGAGTGGGAACTTACGTGTGGTGAGTGCACCTGCCTGCTTTGGGCAGGGTTGGGGCGGGGCGGAGGCCGGGGTGAAGACAGGAAGAAGGCCCGGGCTTCGGCATCCCATCTGGCAGGCAGGTGTGTCCAGGGGAAGCCACCTCCCAGCCTCTTGCGCTCCCCGACGGCCGGCAGGCCTTGGTTTCCCCACCAGGAAGAGTGGGGTCCAGGAAGAGTGGGGTCCAGAGGGCGTGCATTTCTTTCCTGGACCTGGTCCAGGCCGCGGTTGGTGGGGGAGGTGCTCCGGGGCTGTCTGGCGGCCTTGGGCGCCGTCTCGAGAATCCCAGCGAGAGGCCTTGAGGACAGAGGTCTGGCTCCTCGTTGAGGCCGGCAGCCCCTCCACTGACCTCTTGTATGTTCTCAAAGGGGCCAGTGGGAAAGGTGAGCCAATGGGGTGGGATGGGGGTCACGGTCAACGGTGGGGGTCAGGGGCCGCCCTGCCACACCCGGCCCTGAGGTTCCCTGTGCCTTCCTGCCCACCCGACCTGTTCCGCTCTGTTTTTCCACGGACTTTTGTCTGCCGCCCCTGCTACCCGGGCAGGCGGTCTCCCCGACTGCCCCACTGCCCCCCTTTCCGTGTGCCCCACCCCGAGCCCGTCGCCTCCGCATTCCTCGCCCTCCCGGCCTCCCCTCTCACCAGGCCCACATTTATCATTCCTGCAGCCGTGTATAAAGGGAAAAGGGAGTGTCAGGGAATGTGATAGGATCCAATTAAATTCCTGCAGATAAAATAATGATGAATTGCTCAGGGGATTGAACGGAGGCCCGCTGCTGCAGGAAGTGGGACAGAGCTGCGCGGCCCTGGGCGCCCAGGGGAGGGGCCGAGCTCAGGAGCCCGCTCAGCCTGGGGGCGGAGGGGCAGCGCCCCACTCATGGTGCTGCCTGGCAGCCCGTGCCCTGGGGGACATGTTCGCACACCTCAAGGCACGTGATGGGCAGGGTTACTGAGCCTGTTTGGCAGAGGGGAGCCCCAGGTTCACGGAGCACCCCGATGTGTGTCCAGGGATCCCGTCTGGTTTCCTGGTGGTGCTGTGTACAGGGGCGAGAGTGGAGGTCACCCGGGAGGGTGGCCTCATGTGCTGTCCCCCAGAGAGGCGGCTGGAGGGCAGTCTGCGGCAGCCAGAGGGGGCGGGTGTGCCGGAGGGCAGCGGGCGCCGGCAGAGCTCCGCCTCCCGTGCTCACTGTGGGGGTCCCGCTTCAAACTGGAAATGTGGTCACTGCAGACCAAGTCCCTAGACCTTGCCTGCCAGGCCCACTCCCCAGTAGCCAGCTCAGAGGTGTGGCCAGTGGGGACCCACAGGCCTTTACCCCACTGCCCAGGGCAGTGGGCCGTGATTGTGCCACACGGCTGAGCTCCCTGCACACTGCCCACAGTACTCCTACGAGGGCAACGACATCAGCGACCTGCCGGTGAACCTGTCCGTGGTGTGGAATGGCAACTTCGTCATTGACAACCCCCAGAACATCCAGGGTGAGCTGGGCGGGGCCTGGGGGCGGGGCTGTGGGTGGGCGGCGCTGACCACGGTCCTCCTGCAGCCCACCTCTACAAGTGCCCGGCCCTGCGGGAGAGCTGCGGCCTCTGCCTCAAGGCCGACCCTCGCTTCGAGTGCGGCTGGTGCGTGGCCGAGCGCCGCTGCACCCTGCGCCCGCACTGCCCCGCCGACCCGCCCGCCGCCTGGAGCCTGGGCCAGGCACTGACTTTATTAACGACCATGGGCCTCTTCTCCTGGACCCAGGGATCCCCTCCCAGGGTCCTGCCAGGCCCGGAGTGGGTGGGTGGACTCCCTGCACCCAGCCTGGGAGTGCAGAGCCAGTTCTCGAAGCCAGTGCCTTTCATTTACCGTGGACACCCTGCCTGTTGGCTGGAGGGGGCCTTGCTTCATCTGCATAAGCAAAAGCGTTTTAGATCGAAGAAACTAAAGCCAGCTGGGATCATAGAACAGGCCCTGGGCTCTGCGCTGCAGACTGGTGCACCCCCGAGGAGGGCCCTGCCGCCTGGGCTCTGCACCCTCCTGTCCCGGCTCCGCCCTCTCAGGGGCCTCTGAGCCGCGGCTCCCCTTTAGATGGGATCTCGGGGAAGCCAGCACTGCTGAGGGGCAGAGGATGACCTGCAGGGAGGTGGCAGGACTCCTGGGCTTGGAGGCTGACCCGGGCAGCCCTTCACATGGCCAGGGCAGTGCCAGTGTAGCCAGGGGACCCTGTGCAGCAGTCACTGCCCGTGGGGGCTGCAGGCTGGATGCGACTGCAGATCCAGCCCCGAGTGTGGGGTGGGGGGTGGTGCTGGGGCTGCC